AGTCTGATCACGGGGGAGGCACCCAGCTGCGGGCCCACCCTCATCTCCTGTGCGTGTGAGGCTGTGGGGCTGGACACCTCTCTGGTGCCTCCGCTTGGAGCAGACAGGGGTGTGGGTGGTGCCTCTTGGGGGCACATGGACTGCAGGTCAGGGACCTCAGGGAGGGGTCTGAGGAGGGTGACTGACCACTACACTCTGAGCCCCAGAGGACGCTCCAAGCTGCCAGAAGAGAACAAACTGCTAATTGGACGTCATTACAATGAAGACCATCTGCTTGTCAAAAGGCACTGTTACGGAAATGAAAAGACAAGCCACAGACTGGAAGAGATATTTGCAAAACATTTACTGGATCTGCAAAAGGACCGGTATCCAAAATACACAGAGAAAACATAATTTGACATTAAGAAAACAAACAGCCCGATTTGAAAATGGGCAAAGCACCTGAACAGACACCTCACCAAAGAAGACATGCACTTGGCAAAGAAACACACGGAAAGGTGCTCAACGTCACGGCCACTGGGGAGTCGCAGATTAAGACAACAGCGATATCACTGCACAGCCACTGGCATGGGTACACCACAAATGCTGGCCACGCCAGGTGCCGATGAAGCCATGGAGCCACAGGAGCGCTCATCCGCCTGGTGAGGGTGAGAAGGGCCACCGCCACTTTGGACGGCAGCCTGGCGTTTGTTTTGCAACTAAACATGCTTATACCAGATGGTTGAGTGATGGTGCTTTTTGGTATTTACCCAAATAAATTGAAAATCCATGTCCACACGGACAGCAGTACATGAATGTTTATAGCGGCTTCATTCATAATCGCCCCAAATTGGCATCAACCAAGATGTTCATCAGTAGGTGAATGAATAAACAAATCAGGGTACATCCATACAATGGAATATTATTCAACAACAAAAAGAAATGAGCTGTGAAACCACGGGAAGATCTGGAAGCGCCTTACGTGCATATTGCTAAGTGAAAGAAGGCAATCAGAAAAGGCTACATGCTGCATGGTTTCAACTGTATGATATTCTGGAGAATGCGTTACAACGGAGACAGTAAAAAGATGATTGGATTCCAGTCTAATTAGTAAAATAATGGTTTCAAATTCTTTACTATATTAGCCTACTCAGTATATCCATTTCTTTCGTCAAATTGGCAAATTGTATTTTTGAGAAATTTCTTCATTTAACCCAAGTGTCAAATTTATTGGTGAATGTGTAATATCCTTTTATTATCTTTTAAAGGGTGTATAGGACCTTTTTTTCATTCATGATATTGATAATTCTCTCTCTCATCAGCCTTGCTGGGGTTTATCGATTAGTATGCTGTTTTCTAATTTATAGATTTCTGTAATCACACTTATTTCCTTCCTTCTACTTTCTTGAGGATTGATCGACTGCTCTTTCTCTGGCTTTTTGAGATGTAAATGTAAATAATTGATTTTTAGCTATTGCTCCAGTCTAAGATATGCTTTTAATGGAAATAAATTTTCTCCGAAGCATGGCTTTAGCATCCTAAGAGTTTCAATATCATATATTCATTATTAACCAGTTTAATATATTTTCTAGCTTCCATTTTTATTTTATTTATTTTTTTTGACCTGTGAATTATTTAGGGATATTGTGCTTAATTCCCAAGCAGTTGGGATTTTCTCTCTCTCTCTCTCTCTCTCTCTCTCTCTCTCTCTCTCTCTCTATATATATATATTTATATATATATATATTTTTTAATCCTCACCCGAGGATATATTTTTCCATTGACTTTTAGAGAGAATGGAAGGGAGCAGGAGAGACAGAAAGAAATATTGATGTGAGAGAGACACATCGATTGGTTGCCTCCTGCATGTCCCTGACTAGGGCCCATGCCCCTGACCAAGGCCAGGAGCCTGCAACCAAGGCCTTGACCGGAATCAAACTCGGGACCCTTCAGTCCGCAGGCCGACGCTCTATCCACTGAGCAAAACCAGCTAGGGCTAATATTTTTATTGATAGTCTAATTTCAGTGTAGTCAGAGAACATACTTTGATTTCAATCATTTGAAATTTGATATTCTATTTGTATTCTAAAGTAATATGAATTCTGTTGTTGGGCACAGTGTTCTATTTCAAAAAGATCACATTTATTTTATTTATTTACTAGGGGCCCAGTGCATAAATTCATGCACCTTGAAAGGAACTGTGGGTCGAGAGGCTGTGGTAGGCACAGGAGTGGGTCTTGGCCCATCCTCCACACCCCCACCCGGCCCCTCCTGCCGTGGCCCCCTGTCCCCTGTCTGCCGGCAGCCCTGCTCCTGCTGCCACCACTCCCGCCAGCCCCGCTTGCACCCACTGACGGCACGGAGCAGTTGGGGCTGGCGCCAGCGCCAGCGCCAGCAGCGGGTGCAAGCAGGGCCAGTGCTGTCAGTGTGTGAAAGCGGCGATTGTTGCACCGATCGTCCCTCAAGAGCAGGGGGTGGTGGAGAAGCCCTCAGGGGTGATCTGGGCTGGCAGCTGACGCTCGCACCTGCTGATGGCGCCGAGTGATTGGGACCAGCACCAGCAGTGGGTGCAAACAGTGGCTCCGGCGCCAGCTGTGGGTGCAAGCGGGGCTGGGGCCATCAGCAGGTGTGAGTGTCAGGCGGGACTGCGGTGCCTGGGAGCAAAGAATTTTCAGTAACCACCAGAGGCTCGCCCCCACGACAGCAACCGGCGCTCTGCCTTGGTCTGGCGACCCCGCTCACCTGCTCCACCATCCCACCACGGCCAATGCCCACCATGTTCTGCACACGCCCCATGGTGGTCATAGTGACCAGTTGTTTGGTTGGTTGGTTGTTCCAGTTGTTCTGCTGTTCAGTCTATTTGCATATTAGCCTTTTATTATACAGGATAGGATTATTTATATTCTTTAAAATATATTTTTATTGATATCAGAGAGGAAGGGAGAGGGAGAGATAGAAACATCAATGATGAAAGAGACTCATTGATTAGCTGCCTCCTGCAAGCCCCATACAGGGGATGGAACCTGCAACCCGGGTATGTGCCCCAACTGGGAATTGAACCATGACTTCCTGCTTCATAGGTCCATGCTCAACCACTGAGCCACACCAGACAGGCAAGATCACATTTATTAATTGTTTCGTCCAGATCTTCTATATCACTACTGATTTTTTGTCTATTTGTTCTATCAGCTACTGAAAGAAGTGTGTTAAAGTATTTCACTATGGCTGTAGAGATGTAGAAACAGTCTCTGCTTTATAGTTTAAATGCATGTCATGGGATGCATACAGACTCATGATTGTGATATCTTTTTGTTGGATTGACTCTTTGATCTTTATAAAATGTCCCTCTTTATCTTTTGTTTCTTGCCTTAAAAATGTTTGATATTTGGGTCATGTGTGCATGGTGTTATCCTTTTAGTTTTTCTGTGTTCTTAAGATTTAAAGTATGTCTCTCATGAACAGTGTATAATTTTTAAAAAATCATTGGACAATACTAGGTATAGAATTCTAGGTTGATGGGGTTCTGCAGCCCTTTGAGGGTGTCATTTCATTGTCTTCTGGCTTCTACTGTTACTGTTGAGAAGAGAGATCTCAGTTTTATTGTTGATCCTTTGATGATAACATGTATTTTTTTAAAAAATATATTTTATTGATTTTTTACAGAGAGGAAGGGAGAGAGATAGAGTTAGAAACATTGATGAGAGAGAAACATCGATCAGCCGCCTCCTGCACACCTCCTACTGGGGATGTGCCCGCAACCCAGGTACATGCCCTTGACCGGAATCGAACCCGGGACCTTTCAGTCCGTAGGCCGATGCTCTATCCACTGAGCCAAACCGGTTTCAGCGATAACATGTATTTTTTCCCTTGAGCTGTCTTTACGTTTTCTTCATTACCTCCCCCCTCCCCACACCCACCCTGCTCCCCACAGGAGTTTGACAATGAGGTACTTGTGTGTTTTAAAATATAAACTCCAGACTTTATTGGAATTTCACCCATTTTTTCCATTAATCTTCTCTTTCTGTTTCATGAGCCAATCCGGGTACCACATTGCATTTAGTTTTCAGGTTTCCTGAGTCTCCTTTGGTCCTTCCTTGTTTTTTATGACACCGACTGGCCGATGAAATGGTCAGATTATCCCGTAGAATGTCCCACAGGGGTTATCTGATATCTTCTTCGTTAGACTAGGGTTATGGAATTTTGGAAAGAAATCGGAAATGAAGTGAAGTGCTCTTCTCATGTAATTTTGTTTTTATTCTGTAGGAGACTTGCTGAGCTTATTGAACTGGTGGATGAGATTTGCCGAGTTAAGAGCTGTTGTGCCTCTTCACTGTTGGCCAGTTGGATGTTAGGAGCAGATGCTGCGCCAGGCCCAGGCCCAGGCCCGAGGAGGCAGCACCTGTCGCTGCTTTCCTCTCTAGTGCTAACATGCCGGCCCGAGGTGCCCGAGGGACCCACCCAGCAGACCGGAGCCCAACCTGCAGCCCGAACCCAGCCACTCTGAGCCCGACTTCGACCCAGGGCCCCCTCGATGCCTATGGATGCATGAGCGAGACTAAACAAGCACAGTCAGCGCACAGAGCATCGGCTGTGCTTTCCTGTTTGCAAGAGGGGCTGGTGCAGACCTGGGCATCTCACGCTTCCTTCTTCCTCCATCTCCAGCAGCCGTGTTTGGAGCAGTTGTGTTTGGTGCTACGTACTTCTCCCAGGTCACAGGTGTCCTCCACCACCCCTTTACCTCCTCTTCTCTCCCTCCCCGTGCCCCAAGACTGACAACTGCCCCAGAGCCGGAGGGCCCGCATTAAGCTGACTTTCCTTCCTCTCAGCAGCATGATAAGGCTTAAATGGAACCGTGTCGGGGAAAACTTAAGCACAAATACATTTTCTACAGAGAAGAAAATTCCCCAAATCAACAAAACAACCCCCCAAGAATCTTATTTCTGCTGTAGGTGAAATAATGTATGTGAACTGCCCAACTAGCAGTTAACTGTCACACAACAAAATAACTCTCGGTCATTAAATACAAGATTGATGTTTTATTTAACAATAATATTAAATTCAATTCATTCCTACCCTTGCTCATACAGGAGGACATCTTGTTCACACAATAAGAAATATTGACAGTGTAGAGCCGGCCACTCTCTGGAGCCCGGCTGGGCGGGAGGAGTGCCGACTCCGGGTGGGAGCTGGCCCTGTCCACGTCTCTCCAGCTGTGAATCCTCTGGGCTCCGACAGGCCCAGAACCTTTGGATCAGGAGGAAGCAGGAGAGGAAGGAGGGGGTCTGTGCAGGATACAACTGTCCTTGGACACCCCTCCTCTCACACAACATGCACACCTCCGCCAGTTCAAATCCTGGCCCCGGCCCTGCCCTCCACCCGATCGCCCTAGCCTTTATTTATTTGTTTGTTTGTTTATTTATTTATTTATTTAGTATTCCTCACCTGAGGATCCTTTTTCACTGATTTTTAAAGAGAGTGGAAGAGAGAGAGAGGTAGGGGAAGAGAGAGGGGGATAGGGATGGGGACTGGGCTGAAGGTCAGGAATGAAAAGTCTCGTCCACATTTCTGGAGTCGAGGGGACTGAGCTCCGGACACAAAGGGTTTCCCAGGCCTTTGACAAAGGAAGGAGTGGGCCCGCTGGGCCGCAGGTGGGAGAGGAGGCCTAACCCAGACCTCAGAGCACCAGGGCCTCCGGTCTTTCTTCTGGAAAGGATACGGAGCATGTTGGTGGCCGGGGCCCTCAGAGGTGAGCTCTCCTTCTACCTCAGGAATCTGAGGGGCTGTGTGGCCAGGCCCCTCTCTCCCTAAAGCCTGTTTCTGTCCCAAGCAGAGCCCCGGGGCCCCAGAAACCACCGACGCGCTGCCCTGCCCAGTGCAGGGCCCTCGGCAGGACCCGGACCCCGCACAGGCCCCTGTGGTTCTCCACCAGGAGCGAGACCCTCACCGCTAACCGACCGACCGTCTGGAGAGGCTCGGAAGAGGCCGCTTCTGGGCTTTCTGTCCGGGGTGGGTGGGTGGGTGGGGTGCGGGGCGGTGGGTGCAGAGCCTCGCTAGGGCAGCGCCCCGCTGAAAGTCATGATGGGCAGGCAGAGGAGGGAGCAGAGATCGGGCGTGGCCTGGGCCGGTGAGTGGGGCGACCTCTGGGGCTGGGGGCCGAGGCTGCTCTTCTCGGGCTTGTAGCAAGGTGAGACCTCACACCTGTGGGGGCAGGAGTCAGGACAGGCTCACATCCCTCCAGCCACTTCCAGGCCTCCGGGTGGGAACAGCACAGACAGGGACCCTTCCCTCCACCTCACGCAGCTGGGGCAGAGCCGCGCCCCTTCCTACCTGACCACACTCTGCAGGATCTTCCTCTCATCCTGGTCCAGGCACACCGCAAAGGGGCAGATTTTGGAGCCGATAATCTGTACCTTGTCCACTTCGATCTGCGAGGTGCTGATCTGGAAGGAAGGCCCAGGTCAGTCCCCTGGGATTGCCCGCCACCCTGGGGTGGGGTGGGCGTTTGTCTGTCAGCTCTCTAAGGCTAATGGCCAGCGCAGGGGAGGGGTTCTGTGGGCAGCTCGGGGCCTGGCTCTGCCCTTTCCTGAGCCTGGAAGAAGCAAATGCCCTCCAAGGAGAAGTTGCACTGCGCTCACGCGCCCCCCCTCCCCCCCCCCCCCGCTCCCATCCCCCTGCAAGAGCCCTGGGGGTCCCACAGCCCGCTCTGCCTCTGACTTAGGGCAGAACCCTTCCACACCACATTTCCTCTCACAGAGCCCCCCCCTTCCTCCTAACGCCCCACAGCACCCCACATGTGAGCACACCCAAACCTCACCCCTCCCCCTGCTTCCCCTCCCCCCACACCCCCCAGAGCCTTGGACACCCCTCCTCTCACACAACATGCCCACGTGCACGCACACAGGTGCATACTCACCCGTCAGTCTCCAGAGGGTGTGGCTTCAAGGAGAGGGAAGCCCTTACCTGGTTAAAGCCCTTCTTGGATTTGGGGTTTTGCCTCTTCACCACTTCCGTCAGGTTTAGCGTCAGGGACTCTACACCGGAGTCTGAAGGGCAGGGGTGCTCAGGCCAGGCCCAGAGCCCCTCCCCGCCACCACCCCTGCACTGCCCGCCCACCCGACCAACCTAGCTCCTCCTGCTTCCGGCAGGCCTTGTTGAGGTTGATGGAGGTGCAGACCTTCTCCATGTTACTCCAGCGACTTCGTCCGCTGATGGCCCCCTGCAAAGGCAGCAAACCAGGTCCTCTCTCAGCTCGGGGCCCCGTGGCCTGCCACCTTCCTTTCAAAGAAGAGGCCCAGATTGCCAGGGCCCGGAGCTGCCTGTCGTGGGCACACCCAGGGAGCTCTCTCTCCTCCACCCAGGTCTGCCGGCTCCTTCACTGAGACCCCTGGCCCCTGTAGAGACCTTGCTGACTCCGGGGAGGGCGTGATGCCGCTAGCGTGGTCCATGGGTCAGCCTTGTGACCAGGTCATAGGACACGAGAGCTGAGAGCACCTAAGGGGTGGCCTTGATGACCTCCTGCTGAGCCCAGAGTGAGGAAGAGAGGGGCCCACAGGCCTGGAGCTCCCAGCAGAGCCAGCCTGCCACCCTCTTTCATGGGGGGCCTCCATGTTGCCAAACCCAAGAGGGTTTCTCGGTCCTTGGTCAATCTCAAGGTCAGCTCACTTGATCTTGCAGGAGAATTTGCTTCTGTTCACCCCTCTCCTCCCCTGGCTTTTGTGAGGGCACACGCCTGGTTCCCCACCACCTTTCGGCCAGGGCCTCTGCTCAGCCCGACACCCTCCTCTGCCTGCGGTCACATGACACAGGTCTCAGGACCTTCTCCTGGCTCCTCCGCTCTTCGCACTTCTACTTTCTCCATTAGGGAACCTCGACCACCTATACACCCCTCCTCATATTTCATGTCTGAGTTCAGGCCCATCCATCCAACTGCCTCCTCTGACTTCTTCCTTCTGCCTCTCAAGGGCACTGCAAACTCACATGTCCCGCATGCATTCCTGATCTGCTGCTACCGGACCTGGGCTGCTTCTGAGACAATGCATTATTAGTCTCAGAAGACTGAAATCCGGGAGTCCGGGCCCCTCTTTTTCCAACCCACCCCTACGCCCTGCTGCTCGCATAATCCACATCTAGCCCCCATTCCTTCCCATCTCCACCACCACCAGCTAGACCTGGCGGCCACATTTCTCTCCTGGGAAACCACCGGAGCCTCCCATGGGCCTTGCCATGGCCCCCGTGGACCCGCCAATCTGTTCTCCACAGAGCTGCCAGGGGCACCACCCCAAACTTAAGCCCCTTCCAAGAATACCCATTGCTCTTATGACTGGACAAAACTCCTCTCACTGTCACTAAGGCCCTTGGTATCCTGGCCCCGCCTCTCTCTTCAGCCTCGCCTCGTCGCCTTTGCTGTTCATGCTCTCTTCTACCACAGGGCCTTTGAACATGCTGCTTCCTCTGTCTGGGGAATACATTCCTCTCTTTTTAGCTTAACTAATGAATTCCTGTCTTCCCCCACCCCCCCTAATATTGACTCAATGTCCCTTCTCTAAGAAGCGTCTAACTTTCCAGACTGGGTTGAGGGATCCCCTGGAGGTTCTCCCAGTACCATGTACTCCTTCATCTGTTTGTCACAGTTGTAATTATGCATCTGTGGGTCCATCTAACCAATGCCTACCATCCCTCTAGGCCAGTGATGGCGAACCTATGACATGCGTGTCAGAGGTGACACACGAACTCATTTTTTTGGTTGATTTTTCTTTGTTAAATGGCATTTAAATATATAAAATAAATATCAAAAATATAAGTCTTTGTTTTACTATGGTTGTAGATATCAAAACATTTCTATATGTGACACGGCACCAGAGTTAAGTTAGGGTTTTTCAAAATGCTGACACGCCGAGCTCAAAAGGTTCGCCATAACTGCTCTAGGCTGCCAGCATTTTGTTCACTCTTGACAGCACTACCTGTGCCCAGAACAATGCCTGGGGCCCAGTAGGTGCTAACAAACACCTGGCACACAGCTCTCAGGGGCAGTCCCACCTGCCCACTGCCATGGCCACCAAATGTAAAGTAGCCCCATGATCACCATCCCATCAGCCCTTTGATTGCCTTGTCATCGCTCGCTACTCAGACACGACCTTGGTCATTTCCTCGTTTCCTGTCTGTCTCTCTCTTCTGAAAAAGCTAAAGGCAGGGCCCAGCCCTCCCTGCTTACTGCATTCTCCCTTGCCCAGCACAGGGCCTGGCAGGAGTAGGTGCTAAATAAATACCTTTTGAATGATTGAAAGAAGGAAGAAAGAAAAGAAGGCAGGAGGTGAGGTCAGGGCTCTCACGGCCTGTCCCCCAAAGTGTGACAGGCTCAGAGACACATGCTCATGGGCACCCCTTCCTCCCTCACCTCAAATATCTCTTCACTGACACTAATCCCACCTCCCATGCACCCAGCCTGGCACACCGGCCCCAGACCACAGCCTCTCCCTCGTGGTGCCTCTGGAAGCCCAGCCTTGCCCCACTCTCCACCCTAGCCCTGTAGCCCGGCCCGGACACCTCACGGCAGCTGCTGGGCACATCCAGGAGGGGCAGAGCACAGGGGGGGGGTGGCCTCTGCGGGCTCCAGCTTGAACACTGGGGCCCGGGAACCCGAGTCTGACGCTGCGTGAGGAGGCCCAGGAGCAGACCCCAGAGGGCCGTGGCCCAGCGCCATCTTACCTTGCTGTAAATTATCTGTAGTGTTAGAGGGACGGCCTCCCGGTCCCCATCAATGCCCAGCCTCTTGCTGCCAGGACCTGTGCCACACGCAGACAGACCCTTCACTCGGTGCCCCTTACAGACCCTGGGGCCCTACCTCCCCGCCCCCCACCTCTGGCCCTGCTTTCCGGTGACCCTGCCTCCCAGGGCCCTCCCTCCCCAGGGCTCCACCTCCCGCCCCCCCACCCCCACCTGTGTCCCCGGGACTCAGGCAGCACTCACCTGAAGCCTTGATGGCTCGCGTGGCGGCAGAGTGACCCAGCTCCAGGGAATGAATGAAGATCTCCGTGGTCTTCTCCCCGGTGATGAAGGTCAGCTGCAGAGGGCAAGACCGGGCGTCAGGGTGGACCTCCTGCAGGGACCCTCCAGGCTCCTCTGGCTCAGGGCCGGGGGCTGCCACGTGGTGGGGACGGGGCATAGGCTGGGGCCCGGCGATGTGAGGGAGGCCTGCCTGTGAGTCCCAGGGAGCAGGTGGCTGGGGCGACAGGCACTCACCTCTGTCTGGTAGACCTGCAGCAGCACCGGCCGTGCAGCGAAGCGGCAGTAATAGAGCAGCATGTCGGCCAGGATGGGCAGCTGGGTGGGGGAGCCCTCCAGGGGCCGGGAGTCAGCCTTCAGGGACTGCTGCGTCGGGGGAGCCAGAGCCAGAGGGGCAGGTGGATGGCGAGTGGGAGGGAAAGGGAAGATGAGAGGCAGAGGAACATGCACACACATGCAGAGGGAGACGCAGAGGAGAGAGCCAGGGAGGGGGTGGTGAGGCGAAAGCAGAAAATAGACGGTCAGGGGAGCACCCACAGCCGATCTCCACACGGCTCCCTGGCCTGGCCCGGGGGCTCAGGAAGGCCCCTGACAGAGCTGGACAGGGCAGAGCTGAGGACGGGGCCCAAGCCCCAGGTCGTCTGGATCCTTCTGAGAGCCTCCCTGTCACTCTGGTGACTTCACCCCTTGCCCCCAGAGCCCTGTCCCGCTTTTCGCCTACTCTCTGCTCATTCCCAAGGGCACCCTGGCCCTCCGTGGAGTCCTCGAGCTGGAGCTCCCCAAACCAGGGCCTCTGAGTGAGGCTGGGTGACCCCAGCCAGCGGGCCTTCTCTCCCCTCCCAGGGGCCGCTTACCTGGCACAGGACTTCGGGGGGCAGGTGCATGAGGCCCAGCACGTTGCGCTCATACCAGGGGTCGAGCATGCCGAGGTAGTGAGAGATGTCGTTGGTGCTCTCCTCCCACTGGGCCGCGCCCAGCTCCTGAGACAGGGGCGAGAGTCATGCCCGGCGACCCAGGAGGCCTGCCAGGGCCCTGGGCAGCCCTGCACCCCACATCTGAGCTTCCCCCTACCCTCGGACAGGTCTGTGTCATACAGCAAAATGCCACCCCCACGTGCAGGGCGGGGACCACTCCCGGGAGCAAGGGCCAGGGGCCAGGCGGGAGAAGGTGCCCACCACCACAGTGATGGCTTAGTGGCCTCCAACCAGCCCTCTGGGATGACTGCCACCTGCTCACGTCCACCTACTTTCCCACCCCGTTTGGTGCAGGGCCGGGACATACTGTAGGGAGGGGGTGCCTCGGGGACTCGGGGGGAAGCGGCGGTGTCTGGCTCCGAGGGGCCGGGCAGGCGCTGGAGCAGGCCCCCTGGCTTCGCTTCATGGGCACGTAGAAGAACTGCAGCTTGAAGAACCGGGTGAGGAGGGGGCGATTGCTCTCCAGCAGCCTGGCAACAAGAAGGTGGTGAGAAGGTGCCCCGGGTCCCTGTGGGAGGTCAGCTCAAGCCTGAGATGCCACCAGCACCACCACCCCGCCACTCCGGCAGAGACGACCCACTCCGGCTCTTACCGCAGGTTGCTGTAGGCCCGGGCTACCTTCCCCGAGATCCGATCGGAGCCGAAGACCACCACGCGGAGGGTGGAAGCCTTGGGGTCCTCGTCCCCGCTCAGGAAGGGGCGGCGGCGCTGATGGCGCGAGGCGGGCGCCAGGAGCCAGCTGGGCAGCTGGATGCCGAGCTTGGGCTGGGGCAGGGAGCGGGAGCGCTGGGCCCGGGACGGGGGCGGGCCCGGGCTGTCCAGGGGGCTGCAGAGGCTGCCGGCCCGCCGCAGGGGCAGTGCCGAGTCCGGGCTGCCCTCCAGGCTGCGAGAGTCCCTCCGCAGCACCAGCTGGCTGGTGCTCTTGAACAGTTTGTAGATCCTGTTAAACTTCTGCCCGGGCCTGCGGTAGCCCCGGCGCTCCCGGCCGCCCGGCCTCTTGGGCCACTCCGGGGAGCTCTCCTCGCTGTCCTCCACGTAGCCGCTGTCCATGCCGTCCGAGAGGCCCGAGACAAAGGAGGTCAGCACCTGGCTGGAGAGGGTGGCCCCCGAGGCCTGGGACGAGGCGAGGGACAGGGTGGAGTCACGGGAGGCCTCCGAGCTGGTGGAAAACAGTGAGTCCCTCTGGGCACAGGGCCCATCCGTTTCCAAGTCCTCCTCCTCCTCTTCCTCCTCCTCTTCCTCCTCCTCGTCCTCGTCCTCGTCCTCGTCCCCCAGGAGCCCCGGCTCCAGCAGCTCCTGTTCCTTGAGCAGCATCTCCTGCAGGACGTCTGCACGGGGAAAGGGAGACACTGCTGGGTGTACGGGCCGGGAAACCTCTCCCGCTCACCTCTGGGAGGGTGACAGGCTCCGACAGAATGAACTTGGGGAGGAGGTGCCAGAAGGCGGATCAAGTCCAGCCCAGGACTCAGCGTGCGGCCCTGTGCCCTGCCCAGAGCCTGCTCAGGCCGGAGGGCTGGTGGGGAGTGGAGGCGGCTGCCCAGACGGGCCGGGAAGAGAGCCCAGGCCGCTGGGGTGGGCGCCATGAGGCCCCAGCCGGCTGCTTACCAAAGCTGTCCTGGTTCCAGCTGTAGGTGTAGCACCTGGCGACAGGGATGGGGATGGTGCGGAGCTTGCCTGGGTTGGCAGGATCTGTAAGAACGGGCGGGGCCGGCCCAGGTGAGGCCTGGGAAGGAGCCCTGGGATCGGCCAGCCCAGTGCCCTCGCCTTAAAGAAGAGGGCAGAGTTGGGAGAGGACAGGCCAGGCCGCGAAGCTGGGTGGGCCAGGGCGGAGCTGGAGCTGAGAGCTGGGGTGCTGGCTCGCAGCCAGAGGGCACCGTGGGGGTGCCATGCCTTGTATACGCTGTGTAAATGTGGCGGCACACACTTTGCGCCTCCTTTCACAGGGGCCAAACAGCAAAACGGGGGCACTCCCCCTTCAGATGCGAGAACACCGTGTCCCTTCTTCTGCGGTCACACGGTGTGGAGAGGAAGTTTCCCAGGCTCCTCGGGGGGAGGTGTGGCCATGTGACCAAAGTGGGCCAAGGGGATATGGGTCGATGTGACGCACGCGACTTCCGTATTGTCTTCACGTCAAGTGAGAGGCCCTTGCCCTTGATTAGCACATGCTTTTCCTCTTCCCACAGCCCCACATGGTGCGCCCAGCCCTGACCCCGCAGGCAGGACCCGGGCACCAGGCACCAGGGTGGAGGACACGCTGAGGAGCGTGGTCCCCGAGGGACGGTGTGGAGCAGAGCCTCCAGCCAACCTGGACTGCTCACGGTGGGCGCCAGAGCAGGCCACGGGGAAAGTGGGCCCCCCTGTCCCAGGGCCTCACCTAAGACTTCGAGGAAGCCAGCTTTCTCTCCCACCGCCTTCAGCTTGGTCCTGAGCCACTGCCGGGCCTGGGCTGCATCCCCGATGCCAGAGGCCAGCTCCTGGGCCTCTGCCGTCTCCGTGTAGACGTCCTCAAGCTCGGCCAGCGCCTTGGACTGGAACCCCAGGAGGAGACCGGCTTGCTCCTCTGCCATGGCTGGCTGCCCGCCTCCACTTCCCAGGTCTTACCCAGGGCAGCAGGGCCCAGGCCCTCCCAGACTCATCACCCATCTCCACCCACAGCCCAGGAGCCAGGCCTGCCCCCAACCCCCCTCTGAGGACATGGTCATGAGAGAAGGGCTCAGAGCAGAGGGTCTGTCCGGGGTCTGTCCCAGAGCTGGGGCCAGACACCAGTCTTCCAGCTTCAGTCTGAATCTCGTTCCCCTGAGGTGGGTCCCACCCACCCTGGTCAGGCCCCAGCACAACAGAGAGCCTCTTGGCAGGGCCGGCTCTCCAACCACTGCCGCCATGCTTTGGGGTGAGGGAGGCCAGCGTACCCTGGAGGCTGCAGCCCTAAGATGGAGCAGACGCAGGTCTGCGAGAAGGGGGCAGCGTGGACCCCTGGGCCCCAGACACATACCTGCAGCCTGCAGTGCAGACCCGCGAGGTCACAGTGGGCCCCGAAGGTGGCCTGGAAGGCGTGCAGGAGCAGGGTGATGTAGGCGCTATGGGGCGAGTGCCCTGGCGTGCTCAGCTTGTTGGCCACGGCAAGGAACTCCGCCTGCACCTCCACAGGGTTCAGCAGCAGCACGGTGCTGGGGGCACAGAGGAGTGGCTGTGGGCACCGGGGCGCCGCCACACGCCTCATGCTGGGGTTGTGGCCCCTCCCCCCCCGCACCTCCACTCCAGCCAGAGGCCTGGGCCTCCTCACAGCCCGGGCAGGGCCTGAGGCCACGAGAGAGGTGGGGGCTCAAGGGTCCCGTTTCCAAGAGGAAAGTGTCTGGTCTACTTTTGAGTATTTTTTGCCCGGTGTTTTCAAAGACCTTTTCAACACTGAACTCAATTTTTTTAAAATAAGTTTGACCTTAATTTTTATATAAACATTTTTTTTTTCTCTACAGGACATCTGAATGGATATAAGATTACTCAAGAGAAGACTGTGTTTTAGGTGAGGTCGCTGGAAGCCAGGCGATCATTTTGGGAAGGGGAAGCAGACATATGCCATGGTGCAGGGGGGCTGAAATTTTGGCCCCTGCCCTTGTCCTCAAGCCACGGGTTGCGGGGTGGGGTGGCATCTGCCAGGAGGAAGGCGGGCCAAGTCAGGGCTGCATCCCAGTCCTCTGCCCGGGGGACCCCCTTCTAACTGCCCGCACATCACACAGGCCGGCACTGGCCGGGGAGGAGTGTGTGTCCAGCCACCTCCGCCTCTCTCCCCACTCCACCCCGGCTCCTCCTCGGTGCGTGTGAAATGCGTTCATTATGAAAATTTCAAATATACACAAATGTTGAGAACCGTGAACCCCGAGGTGTCAATTACTCAGTTAACGGTTAACAACCCAGGACGGTTCTCACGTCGCCCACGCCGACCCTCGTCGCTGCATCTCCTGGAACGTGTCTGAGCCATCACCGTGCTCCTGCGCCCGCCCGTGCACGCTGTCATGCACATGGCTGCCCTTCGCTGCGCTCTCTCCCAAACCCACGCCGCAAACTGCATTCACACCAGTGCAAAGCAACGCCAGGCAGGCGACGCAACTCCCAGTCCCTGTGGGCATCTGCTCAGAGCGGGGCCCTGGGCGCAGGACCAGGCGCTGTCAGAGGCATCAGCGTGGGGAGAAACGATGTGTGATTTCTCTCTTTATGAGAAAAAGGAGGCAGGCTCACGTAAGCAGCCCCCTACTGAGCCCCTCTCCTTCACTGAGGGCTTGATCCCAGGTGCTGGGCACACAGGACCTCACTCTCCCCCACTTGACTCCCTGTGTGCAGGACCAGCCTGGCCAGCCTGCGCCCTCGCAGCCTGCAAGCCATCTCCGCTGGGAAACCGACCATCCCTCCCAACACACAGAAAACAGGAGTGGCTTCCCCCTCAGCCCCGAGACCTCCTACTAACCTCTCAGAACCTCAGTTCCCCGGCCTTAAAAATGCCTTTTCTGTAAGGTCAGCACGAGGATTGCAGGAAGCAGCCATGCCCACAGCAGTGCCCAGAGCTCAGTAAGTGCCCGGGCGATGTTGGTGAGTGTTCGCCAGCCCCCTGCCTCCGCCCGGGAGGGAGCTTATTTACTTGCTAAGCTAACATTTACAAATATGCTCGTCCCTCTGTCTCTCTCAGGACCTGCACTGCCTGAGGATGGGAGGGCGGGAGTGACTAGTTTCTGCTGCTGGAGCTGAAGCGTCTGGGCGCCCCGGTGTCCGGGTGAGACAGCGCCCACACGCCCGGAGACCGGCTGGAGGGGCCTCGGAACGGAGGCTGCTCTTCTAGCGTTTGTCACACTGCAGACCCGGACCCGTGAGTGGGCAATGCAATCCATTTGCGGAGTCACCACCAGAATTGCCTTTTAAATGAAATGGACAGAACCTACCCTAGGAGGTAAGGGTAAGTTTCAATTTATGAAACCTGTTTTAGCTGTGTGTGTGTGTGTGTGTGTGTGTGTGTGTGTGTGCGCGCGCGCGCCAGGCTGTCATAGAAAATAAATTCTTTATTGCAGATTCTGGTTAAAAAAAAAAAGTTTGGAAAATGCTGCTTTAAAAACCAGCAGAAAGACACTGTGGGAAGAGCATGGGATTCCGAGGAGGACTGAGGTTCCGGTCCTGGCTCAGACACTCATTGCTGTGTGACCTTGGGGAAGTTACTTGGCCTCTCTGACCTCCAGTTTCCTCATCTGAAAAGTGGGGTGAAGTGAGGTAACGTGTGCCCAGCGTCTGGCATGATCAATGCAGGTGATTCTTAACCTTTTTTTTTTAAGTCTCAGACCTGTTTAGGAATCTGATGAAAGACCCTCAGCCCAGAAAGCGGCTCTGCGCACAAAACTTCACCAGCAATCCCTGGGTTCCGGGTCTAAGCCTGTTTGTGGGGGGCTTGGTTGGGGTGCAGCGAGAGAGGGATGCAGGGGTGCTGGTGCAGGAATGGTGAACAGTGGGCGTAGTCCCATCCCCACCCCACCCCACACCCTTTCTCGCTCCCCAAGAGCACTCACACAGTGGAGCTGCGGTGACTCCGAAGGGGCAGACCCTGCTCAGCCCTCACCAGCCGCTGGTAGGAGATTCCTGTGGCCAAAGAAAAAGAACAGGTTCACGCGGTTACCTGGTCCTTTGGCGCTCGTGGCCTGTGCCTCACAGTGGCCGCACCGGACAGTTCGGATGGGAGTTTCTGGATGGGGTTCAGGCCCAGGGGCAGATCATGCCTGACGCCTACGGGGCCTCTGACAAGATGAGCCCCAGGCCCCACCTGGCTCCAGCCACCTTCCGAGCTTTGCTCCTCAGAGGCAGTGGGGCAGAGCACCCTGAGAGGAGAACTGAGGCCGGTCTCCTGCTGTCCAGCAGTCCTGGCTCCTGTCACACTGCCCTCTCGCAGTCCCGGTGTCCGGCAGTGGGCACGCCGGGCACCCCTCGGGCCATCCCCTCAGCCTCAGCCCCTCCCACACTCTCTCCTTCCCCCAGCATCTTGGCCTGGCCTCCACAACTTTTCAAGGGCCACAGACCCCTGATGGGGTCCCTCCCAGACTGCGCCTCTGCACCCCCCACCCCCAGCCTTCCTCTCCGCCCCGTCCACCTGCCGGTCTCCTTGACTTTAAATGTGTGGAGAAATGGACTCAAGTGTCTCCTGCGACCTGGCTCCGTTCTGCAGCTGGAAGCAGACCCTCCACCGAGTGTCTTCGGTTCTGTGTCACCCTCGGGAGGAGATGAAAGCACGTTTCACTCTCCTCACTGACAAGGGTGACAGAGCAGGGGCTGGGCCTCAGGAGACAGCACCCTTGTTAGAGCTTGGACGTCTTTACGGGGTCCCTGTCTCCCTGTCGGGGGCAGGGCCAGCCCGGGCCGGTAGGAGTGGGGAGCAGGAAGGCGATCCACTCGGGAAGCGTTGCAGAAAGCAGGAAAGAAGGCCCTGATGCTTGTCTAACACATGGAAGAAAATGGCCAATGTATGCATTCTGACTTAGCACCTAATTGCTTTGATCTGGGCCTTCTGCTTGGCGTTTCTTTTATGTAACTGTCACATGTTTGGACGTGACTGTTGTGTCTGGTTTGATGGTCCCCGGACAGTGGCTGCTCCTATCAGGACTGGGAACGCTGTCGGGCAGCTCTCACACACGTACTCCTGTACTCTCGTACTCAAACGCTGGAGCGGATGAGGGTGCCCGCTCTGCACGGGTTCCCCACGAGGAGCACACAGACAAGCCGCCTCCTCTTGACTCATCTGCTCTTTCCTTTTACCATGGGACGGCTTAACGGTAACCCACACCCCACGGACGCGTCGCCTCGCCTCCCACTCTGCCTCGATGGACACAGGCCACGCAGCCTGCCACTCTCCTGGGGAGGGGAGCAGCCGGCAAGATCACTCTCCCTCCATCAGGCCTCCTTCCAGATGCCGGCCATTGGCTTCCAATCCCATTGCCCTCCTGGACTGCCCTCCTGAAGTCACAACACCCTAGGCCTCAACCTTATCATCATTTTCCTTGAATTGCTTTTTTCTTTTCGTCTTTGATACTGTGGACCACTTTCTCCTTGAAGCTTGCTCTGCTCCATTAGTCTCCATGACAAGGACCATTCAGTCACATCTTGTATTTCTCTCCCTGTTTATCTTAGGACTAGAGGCCCAGTACCTGAAATTCGTGCACGGGTGGAATTCCTAGGCCTGGCCAGTGATCAGGGCCAATCGGGCCTTCCTTCCCGCAGCTGCCGGCTGCCCGCTGGGGCCTTCCTTCATTCCCCACTGTCCCCTGGTGGTCAGTGCACGTCCTAGCAAGCAGTCAAACTCCCGGTCGGTCGAACTCCCAAGGGGACAATTTGCATATTAGGCTTTTATTATATAGGATAATACCCAATAGTCTCATTTGGGGATTGCAGTACAGGTAGAACTGGGAGCTGCCTCATATCAGCTAGGCAGATGCCATATAACCTTGCCCTGTGCCTGATTTTGCTGTTGGGGGACTTTTAGGAGGACGTCTGTGCCCCTGGGCACACCCTCGCCCAGAGGGAGTCATTTCCAGAGCTGGATATCCTGGATGCCAACAGTCCCCAAGTGAAGCACGGAGCATCAGATGAGACTCCCCCACCCCCAACGAAGACATTGAAACAAAAAATCGGGTGGACGGCAATCCAGGGGTCAGAGTGAAAACAGCACAGACCCTCTCCTACTCGTGGTCCCATGAACATTCAGACTAGGCTTCTCCCATCTTTCTGCTCCCCCATCCCTGGCAGGAGACCTCATCCTCAAGGTCATTTCAATGTCTAACGACTGCTGGAGTGCCGGCCATCAAGTCTTCATTCGAGTTAACAGGAGGAAGTGAGGGGGAGGGGTGTCAAAAGTGTAAGCCACTGTTATTTCAGGCTTTCTTTTATAGGCAGCCGGCTCAACTAATCACACCCTGTGATTTCTGGAACATCTGCCTTCCACTCCTTCCCTGAGTCTCCCCTTATAGTATTGTGATATAATGAGGAATATATATTTGTATTTATTATATTTATATGTTCATCCCCAGTTCCTGGGACAGAGCTCCTAAAATCCTTGTCATGTCCTGAGTGAGGGGTGAGAGGAGCATCTAAATAAGCCCCTTTAACTGGACCTGAGTTTATGCTAATGAGGTGACTCTGGGTGGGTCCCTAGATAGCTTCCAGCAGCGGGCTGGGTGCCCTCTGGAACCAGCCCTGTGAGTGATTCAAGGGCTGGAACTTTGTGACCTCCCCCAGCAACCTTCAGCGGGGGGAGGGGCTGGAGATAGAGGTAATCAGCCAAGATTGAGTCAATCATGCCTACTTAGTAGGACCTCCATGAAATCCCTAAACCCGTGGTCGGCAAACTGCGGCTCGCGAGCCACATGTGGCTGTTTGGCCCCTTGAGTGTGGCTCTTCCTAAGCCTTAGGAGCACCCTAGTTAAGTTAATAACAATGACCTACCTCTATAGTTTAAGTTTAAAAATGTTGGCTCTCAAAAGAAATTTCAATCGTTGTACTGTTGATATTTGGCTCTGTTGACTAATGAGTTTGCCAACCACTGCCCTAAACAATGGGGTTCAGGAAGCTCCCAGGGTGGCGGTGCACCCCAACTCCACAGGGTAGAAGCTCCTACCCTCAGGACCCCTCCAGACCTCGCCCTCTGTACCCCTTCACCCGGCTGTTCCTCAGTATTCTTCATAGTATCCTTTCCAATAAACCAGTGAACGTAAGTAAAGTGCTCTCCTACTTCTAGGAGCTGTTTTAGCAAATTACTGCACCTGAGGAGGGAGCGCTGGGAAACCCTGATTTGTAGCTGGTTGGTCAAACGCAAGGGAGACCTGGGCTTATGGTCAGCACCTGAAGTGGGGCCAGTCTTGCAGGACTGAGCCCTCCACTGCGGGGTCTGTGCTGACTCCAGGTGGTTAGTGTCCGAATTGGATTGAATCTGTGGACACCCAGCTGGTGTCTGGGGAGCTGGAGAACGGGCGTGTGGGGGAAAGACTCCCATGTATCTGGGGTCGGAGTAAAAACAGCACAGACCCTCTCCTACTAGTCCGTGTTGGTTGACTTTCCACTAAGAGACCTAAACCTTTCATTCCATAATCTGAGACAAAAAGTAGGAGATGCAAATGTTTATGATCAGTTATGTCCCAAGAGAAACGTATTGCCACTGAAGAATATTCACAGTTCAGCTGCCACCAGTCGACAGGCAGAACTGACCTCATCAGGTTTCTTCCTGATGGCAGGAGGCCCAGGGTGGGAGGGCACTAGGCGATAGGAAAGGGACAGGAGAAACTGCCCAAGGGCAGAAGGTGCTTGGGAGCCAGCAGGGCCCGGGGCCTGTCAGTCATGCAGTCCCCTGCCTGGGTCTTTTGAAAGAAACAGCATTTTGCAATGTGAGAAGGTAGTTTTTGACTCAAACAGACATGGGTTCAAGTGGTAGAGCTCTAGTTAGCTATGTGACCACAGAAAAGCTCCTTAATTGTCTGGCCCTCAAGTTTCATTATCTGAAAGATGGAAATACTAGTGACTAATCAGGGGACTGTCGGAGGATGGATGGGACCGATTCTTAGCAATGTTGAATGCACCGTAAGCACACAGGTAATGCAGCCATTGCCACCATCACCACCACCACCACCATCATCAACCACAATTTCAGTCCTGCTTTGATGAGGAAAGCTTATGCAACCTGTCCCCAGGTCACCAACTAATAAGTAACAAAGCAGATGTTTTTGTCATACCAAGGCCTGTGTTTCTCCTCTCACACCTGGCTTTATAGCTTGGGCAAGAAACAAACTTCTCCCAGTCTTGGTTGTGTCATGCACAAAATGGGAGTAATATTGCTTTTCCCTCTTACGTCATGGGGCCGTGGTCTGGGTGAGATGCAGGCATTGATGCCCACTGTCACCCCTCAGGATTACAGATAAATTCTTTGCAGACAAGTATTCCGCTGAGTGCAGCCATGTGGTCACAGCATAAATATTCAACAAACATGTGGGCTTAACCCCAGAGGGTTGTGGTGGGCAGGACCTGGTAGCACTGATGTGAGGTTTCCTGCCAGCCCCAGAGCGGAGCCAGTAGGCACCCTATTGGGGGTGGAGTCAGGAAGAAGGGGGAGGCCCGGGGCTTCATAACCTGCCCACTTCCTCTGCTACCCAGCCACATCAAAGTAGAGTAAACTGTTTCATTCATCTCCATGGCAACTCGCTCCCTAAGGCTCCCTGGGTGGAGGGCCCAGCTCTTCAGGTCCCTGGTCATCTTCTTCCTGTGACCTTGCCAGGACCTCTCTCTTAAGCCAACACACCCCAAACCCTACTGCCCAAGCAACGTGAAATCAACGTAGGTCAGCGGTCAGCATTTAGCCTCGAAAACTGCTCTGAGAGGGAGGGATCCTCCTCCCATTTTACAGATGAGGAAACTGAGGCTCCCATAAGTAAAACATCTTTCCAACGGCCCCGCAGCTCCAGGACTTGAAACCACTGAGGTCTAATACCTAGTACTGGTAACCGCCAAGTGATTGAGCCTCAGCTCCTCCTCCCAGAGCCCATTCCGGCCTCCATCCCAGCCCCTCCCTGGTTCCTCCCATTGCCTCTCTCGGCTGGGCTCACTAGGGGTGGGGCACTCAGCCACATGCCTCTACAAAACCACACTGAAGCATTTTCTAACAAGCCCACCTAAGGTTCCTGCAGATGAGGGTCAATTTTGTTCAACTTACTATTTGCTGTTGATGAGGGCTCAGGTTCTGTGAAATCAGAGGTTAACGTGTGGATGTGAGATGAGTGTTTTGTTCCGGACAAAAGATGCCCTCAAAGGTTACAGTTTTATTCTCCTAGATGACATTAACTAATTTGGTATCTAGTTTTGCAACCTTATTCTAGCTTGCATGAGAAACCTGTATCAGTTTCTCACACCCTCCTCTACACCAGTTCTGTCGTGTCGCTGGTTCCCTCGGGACGGGGTGAACACATCTGGGGCACAGGCTCGCTGTGCATTTGTATGAGAGCTTGGTTTTTGTTTGAAGACATGAGAAGGAGATGGTTTCCTGTTTCAGTTCTGCTTTCCCTGGAAGAGAAGTTCCTAGCACGGGCAGCCTGGCCCGAGTCCCTCTCCACACATCTGCCTTCTGGGTCACCGGCATATCTGAGGCCTCGAGTGGTCCCTGGGCACTGCCCCTCAGCAGGGAGGGGCAAGAGCGCCACGGGTCCTCCCTGCTCTGGGTCCAGCTGCAGCTGCTGCTCTGCCTGGCTTTTGTCCCCCAGGCTTAGAACCTCATGTCCCAGCATCTGGACCTCGCCACAGCCCGTCCCTCTGCTCCCCATCTGCTCGCTAGGCTGCCCAGAACAGAGTTCCTGCTCAGCTGCCCGCAAAAACACTTCCAGGCATAGCGTGCGTTCAGCGGAGGAGGGCCAGCTGGCTCCACTCGAAATTGGGAAGCCGTCGCCCCACATGCAGGTGACGGCCCTCCCCCAACCCAACATCGCCCTTGGCCATGTCAAAGAAAGAAAGGGTTGTTTAAATCTTTGGTATAGACCCGTGGTCTGCAAACTGCGCTCGCGAGACACATGCGGCTCTTCGGCCCCTTGACTGTGGCTCTTCCTAAGCCTTAGGAGGACCCTAATTAAGTTAATGACAATGTACCTACCTATATAGTTTAAGTTTAAAAAATTCGGCTCTCAAAAGAAATTTCAATCGTTGTACTGTTGATATTTGGCTCTGTTGACTAATGAGTTTGCCGACCACTGGTATAGACAGAAGGTCCTGCCAAGGCATGTGCATTGAAATCTTTTCCGTCTAAATCATAAGCAGGAATAAAACTTTCCATTCTTGTTAAAGGCATTCTGGTCCCCAGCAGGAAGCCCAGAAGTGATCTAGTCCTACTTACTTTGGGGACAGTGGGAAGGACGGGCATGAAGGAGATTAACCTTAAACTGGTCTGTTCATTTAGGGTGCCTTGGAGAGTCAGGTTGGCAGTTTCTCGATTCATCATGTGCCCAAGCACCTCCTCGTTCAACACCTTCTCCTCAGGGTCTTCCTGATTTCTTCATTCTTCCACCACGTCTCTCCCATAAAGTGAGGTTCATGCAAGAGGCAGACTTGGGTGACGGCCAAGCTCAGCCTGTGCCTGCTCTGCTCTGTAACAACACACAGCTGATTGGCTGGGGGCAGAGAGGTCAGATAGATGATTGGCTGGGGAAGGAAGTCATGAGTCCCTCAAAGAAATCTGCAGACCGAGCTTCAGTCCTGAGCTTTCGAGGGTTCGTGAATTGTTGGGGAATAAGATTTGGTCCCTCTGTCCTATGTGTATAATGCGTACAGTGAGAATGAAACACTGTCAGTACTACATAGGGCTTGGTGTGCAGAGATTTAAAAGAAAAGATGGGATTACAACATACATAGTATTTTGGGGCCTGGTTTTTTAAAGATTCAAGTTACCCAACATCTTCTGATCTCAGTAATTACATTTCTATATCATTTCTAATGATGGACTAGCATTCCACCAAGTGACTTTGCTAGACTATACTCAGCCATGTCCAATATTTAGGTTTTTTGGAATTGGTTGATTACTAGAAAGAACTCATCGATGAACACCCTTGTAGGAAAACCTTTGCATAGCCATAATTGCTCAAATTTCTAGGAATGGAACTGCTGTGTGAAAGGATATTCTTTTTAATATTTTAAAGGACACAGCTCCCCTTTCCTGACCAATATTGGCTTTTTTTTTTTTTTTTTTAAATCTTTGCCAATTTGTTAGGGGAAAATGGTGTCTCACTGTTAAGTTTTGCATTTTCTTTATTATTAATGGGGGTGAATATCTTGAGAGTTGTTCCTCAGATGTTTTTAGTTCTTTTTTTGATGTGCTTAAAGCATGCTTTGTCACATGGTCATTGGTGTGTTGGCCTATTTTTAACTGACTCAAAAGAACTCTTCATGGATTTGAATACTATTAATTTTTATTGAAAATATTTTTCTTAGCTTGTCATTTACCTTTCACTTATAGTGGGTTGTGCCAAATAAAGAGCTTTAAATTTTATGCTCTCAAATCTGTTGGCCTTTTATAATTTTTGTCTTGCAGGGACAATCCTTCTTCATTCTAAGCTCAGGTGACCTATTTTTCTTCTATGACTTTTATGGTCTTGTTTCTACCCTTAAGCTTTTAATCCAATTGTAAGTTATTTTTATAAAACTCAATTTTGTTTTTTGGAGATAAAATTCTAACTTGTTTTTTATGGTCTCTCCATTATCCTGATATCATTTATTAAATGACCAATTTTTTTTCAGGACCCATTTGAGGATGCCACTTTGTTATATAACAATTTTTTACTATTTCATTTGTTCCTAGCTATTCTATTTTGCTCCATTATTCATGTATTCTTTTCCCAATAGTGTATGATTTTCATAACTACATATAGCCTTAGGGTACCTTCAAAGACCTAGTAAGGAAATATCCATCCTTACTCTTCTTTAAGAATACATAATTATATATATCAAATGCATGGGTAAATGTTATTGTAGGGCACTGATAGACTTTCTCTATTTTGTTAAATTGTAAAAGATGTTGATGTATTTTGATCATGGTAACACCTGATATTATTATGATATTGACTCAATCTAGCAACATGTGTTTTAATTTATTTATCCTTTGGTTAAATTTGTTTCTTCTATGTAGGTTAGTTGCATTTATTTTATATTTGTAGTCGCTATTGCAAATTGTTGTGGGTTTTTTTTTTTCATGTCTTCTAACTGGTTAATGGCATTATATGGCAAAGCTCTTAGCTCCCTGTTTACCAGTCTGACAGTCCTTCAGGTGATCCTCTTAGTCTTGATAAATAAGCAATTGTTTGATTTCTACCTATTAAAATTTTATCTTCTCTGGAAAAGGAAATATCTTTATTTTTTTGCATAGGCAAAATCATTGTAAGCATGAAGAGAAAGAATATTGACTAAATGGAAATGCCTCTAGTATTAAGAACACTTCCGTATATTAGAAGTTTTCATATATTAGAGGGGTTTTAAATATTAGGAACGGATATTGAATTTTTTCCATTCACTTGTTTCCTGACTTCATTCCTTTGAGCCTCTGATGGGATGAATTGCTCTAATATCAGACTACCTCTCAGGACATCATACTTGATTATGATTCCTCTTGCTCTGCAATAGTGTATCATAGCACCTGCAATTTCTCAAGAATTCCTACTTTTCAGACTCTACATATGAAAAGTTAGTACCAGGCCCCTGCCCGCACTTGTCATGGCGCCCATTAACCTGTCCATTCCCAACACCAGCCACCTTCCGTGGCCAGACTGAACCTGTCCACACACACATACATTTTCCCACGTGCTCCTGAGGCAAAGAGAACACGCGAGGGCCTCGTGTCAACATGGGCTTCGCTGTCGGACCTGGGCAGCCTCCGAGACCACTTGCATAACCAGAGCAGAGGCACAGGCCGCATGGTGTGGTCTCCTTGCCCTGAACGCCTGCTCAGCCTCCCCTGAGAAGCCCTCTGTTTTTTCCCCTTTTTATCCTTTCCCGAGGACATTTTCTGATTTTCAAAGAGAGGGGAAGGGACAGAGACAGAGAAAGGGAAACATCGATCAGTTGCCTCCCACAGGCTGGGTTGGGATCAGGGATCAAACCCAAAACCCAGGTATGTGCCCTGACCGGGAATCAAACCCACAACCTTTCAGTGTAACTGGACGAAACTCCTACCAATTGAGCAACGCCGGGCAGGACAAGAATTCCCCCTCGAGTTACTGCCTACGTTCACTGTTTCAGCCATCTGATGCTGGTGCGCACATGGTACACACAGCACCATAAAGAGGAGACTCCAAGGTTTTGAATCGGGGCCATGGGCAGAGACGAGCTGAAGGTTGAGAGGCGAGGGGATCACAGCCCGAGAGCAGTTCCAGAAGAACCTCCTGCCTGCACGATCCCTGCTCCCCGCGCAAGCTGCCTCCGCACTGACCTGGGGCCTTGAGCTCAGCGTCGATGAAGGTGAGCAGCTCCTGGCTGATGTTGCAGTACGGAACGGGCCAGGTCAGGAATCGGTGGTAGGTGCCGGCTGCTTTCAGAAGAAGGTCTGAGTCCGGGGGGAAGTGTGGTGTCTGCAATGCAGAGGGAGTGGTAAGCAGAGAAGTCTGGGTGGGAGAAAGGGCACTGGTATTCCAGAGCAGAACCTGCTACTTTTCTGGAATGTTCCACAAAGGGCACACATTTCCCGGCAGCCGCATGTCCAAGAACAAGGTCAGGAAGGACTGGAAATAACCCACAGGCAGTGAGTTACAGATAGGCAAGAGGGTGCCAGGGATGTCTCTACCGTAAGGGCCTTGGTTTTATTAAACATAACACAGTTTACCCAGTTCAGGAGAGCAGCGCTCTGAAAAGCTGGAGTCATCTTAAATGGGGCAGCTGCTGCCTCTCAAATGTCTAAACCTGTGGTCGGCAAACTGCGGCTTGCGAGCCACATGTGGCTCTTTGGCCCCTTGAGTGTGGCTCTTCCACAAAATACCACGTGCGGGCGTGCACATAAAGTGCGATTGAAACTTTGTGGCCCGTGTGCAGAAGTCGGTATTTTGTGGAAGAGCCACACTCAAGGGGCCAAAGAGCCGCATGTGGCTCGTGAGCCACAGTTTGCCGACCACTGGTCTAAACCACATTTATCCTTACTAGAGGGAAACATTTCTTCTGTGAAGTGAATTGACTCAATCAATGTACATGGACTCATTTGATGCCCCCAGTCTGGCGAATAGAGGGTGATCACATTGGGTAAAACTGACCACTGGGGCACAAAATGAGGTGGGCATAGAAGCTGTTTAACGGGTCTATTCCATGGCTTGTGAGAGGCTGTGACTGGTTCCTCCATGGGCGCCAGATGTGCCAGGCACAACAGCATCCACATGAGTTACTGGAGATGAGTTACAGAAGAAGTTCTGAATCCGGTGGGAAGTGTGGCTTATCAAGACGGCTTATTGGCTTATCAGCGGTTCTCAACCTGTGGGTCGCGACCCCTTTGGAGGTCGAACGACCCTTTCACAGGGGTCGCCTAAGACCATCCTGCATATCAGATATTTACATGACAATTCATAACAGTAGCAACATTACAGTTATGAAGTAGCCACGAAAATAATTTTATGGTTGGGTCACAACATGAGGAACTGTATTTAAAGGGCCAGAAGGTTGAGAACCACTGGCTTAGCTGAAGCCATCAGAAGGTTGACATGCATCAGGTGTCATTGATTGACAGTTTCTCTCCCAGTGTTTATCCTCAGAGTCGTGAGGGCTATGCCTGCCCTGTGTGGGCTGTTCTCTTTCCTCCCCCAGCTCCCAGCCTGGCCCACCCTGGAACTTACACAGAGGACCGTGGAGTAGAATAGCAGGGCCAGGGGCGTGAAGAGGTCATAGGAACCCTTCTCTTGGACCTGTGGAGAGGGTAGGAGAGGAGGGTGAGGCTCACTTACGGGTGCAGAACAGAGCAGCGTGTCCTTGTTTTATTGTTGTTTTTTTAAATACATTTTTATTGATTTCAGGATGGAAGGGAGAGAGAAAGAGAGATAGAAACATCAATGATGAGAGAGAATCATTGATTGGCTGCCTGCTGCACACCCCCCGTGGGGATTGAGCCCACAACCTGGGCATATGCCCTGACTGTGACCTCCTGGTTCATAGATCAATGTTCAATCACTGAGCCATGCCAGCTGGGCTAGTCTTTCTTTCTTTCTTTCTTTCTTTCTTTCTTTCTTTCTTTCTTTCTTTCTTTCTTTCTTCTTTTCTTTTTTTCAATGAAAAGATGAAAAGCAATGCAACCACGAGACAAAATTTGGAAATTAGAAATTAGAAAAAAACTCCACGCACAATGGCCCCTTCCAAACTCAACCACTGCTAATGTTTCAACGTACTTCTCCTTACAGTGTTTCTCTGTGTATTTTCCTCTGCGAAGTCTTCATAGTGTGCACATTTTTACTCTTAATGTCTTTTACATGTAATATTACAGATGGATTTCTGTTTTGTTACATGATCGCTAAGCCCACCTCTTGTTCCCCTTCTGGTTATACATGTACCTGTTACCTGTATTGTAAAGTTTTGTTTTTTTTCCAGTCTGTTGTTTGCTTTTAAATGTATGGAGTATTTGTGTACATAAATTATGTGTTAATTTTTTCCTTTCTGGATGTTTGCTTTGCCATGCAAGGATCATGTGAATACTCATATATTTTCTTTGAAGCTTTATTTTCTTAAATTTAAGTCTTTAAGACATCTAAAATTCCATTTGCTGTATGGTATGAATTAGGATTCTCACTCTGTGTTTTTCCAAGTGTTTCATCAATTTCCCCTAAGCCATTTAATAAATATTACTGTTGTGATTTTTATTACATATGCAATTGTGTTAATACCCTTGGATAATATCCATTATTTTTATTAGCTGTATAATATTCCTTCTGGTAGATACGTATACTGTATTAGTTTCATTTTAGACATTTGAGGTCATTTCTTGCTATTTAATTACTTTTGCAATGAAAACCTTTGAGCAAATTTCTTTTCCTATAATTTGTATGGTTTATCTAGGATACAGTTCAAGAAGTGGAATCAATCGAGATTATAAACATATTTACTATCTTTTAAACATATTGCCGCATTGCTTTCCAAAAGGATTTTGCCATTTATAAGATCTCATACGTTTGAAAGTGCCAGCTTCACTACAACCTTCTCTGCATTGCTTATTATAATTTTTTGCTAATTTGCTAGGCAAAGGCTGTCTCATTGTGGTTTTAATTTGCATTTGTTCTATGATCACAGGGGCAACATTTTTCCTGTATATGTTTAAAGTTCTAGTTATTCTTTTGTGCCCTGTCTTTTTTTAAAAATATTTTATTGATTTTTTACAGAGAGGAAGGGAGAGGGATAGTTAGAAACATCGATGAGCAAGAAACATCTATCAGCTGCCTCCTGCATGCCCCCTACTGGGGATGTGCCTGCAGCCAAGGTACATGCCCTTCACCGGAATCGAACCTGGGACCCTTGAGTCCACAGGCCGACGCTCTAGCCACTGAGCCAAACCGGTCAGGGCTGTGCACTGTCTTTTTTAGAGCACTCACCCACCACAGCACATACACACCTGAGCCCGGGTTTTAGACTTCTTCGGCCTTTCAGCCCCGTCGAGAGCTCACAGGCTGAGGCCTCAGTGGCAGCCCCGCATTCCCGCTGCCTGGTGACCTCGCAGGCCCAAATGTAAGGTTCTCCTTTTCTTTCTCCTGAAGAGACCATGTGCCTGCTCCCCTGTCACTGCACAGCAGTCGGTCCTTTACATTTGGGTTGTGCGTTAAGCACTCCAGGGAGGGTCAGCTCTCCTTAGTGGGCTTGCGTATAAACGCACCAGGTAAATGGTGGTGCTAGAGCTGGGACCTTGGGAGTCTTGATAAACCAGTACAGTGGGGCCTTGACTTACGAGTTTAATTCGTTCCATGACGGAGCTCGTAACTCAAATTACTCGTATGTCAAATCATAAAGTGAACAAGTGAGACACGTGATGCTGGGCTATTGTTGTGGCGTTCACTGTGACGTTCGCTGCGCCAACTAGCGGTGGGTATCTGAAGCTGGCTCGTAACTCGAATTTTAGCTCGCAACTCAAAGCAAAAAATCGGCCGAGAGACAGCTCATATCTCGAAAAACTCGTTAGTCCGGACACTCGTAAGTCAAGGCCCCACTGTACTTTCTTCTTATAGGTAAAAGGGTCAGCTAATAGAGAAAGGCCAATGTTTTGCAACTCAGTCATGTATTAAAAAGCAAAACTTTAGCTCAGCTGGTGTGGCTCAGTGATTGAGCGTCAACCTATTACACCAGGAGGTCACAGTTCGATTTCCAGTCAGGACATATGCCCGGGGTGCAGGCTGGATCCCTAGTAAGGGGCGTGCAGGAGGCAGCCAATCAATGATTCTCTCTCATCATTCATGTTTCTATCTCTCTCTCCCTCTCCCTTCCTCTCTGAAATCAATAACAAAATTTAAAACACACACCAATAACAACAACAACAACAAAACTTTAAAGAGAATTCTTCAGGAAAGAGCCATAGTCCTCCTTAGGGACTCAGCTGTCCTGGAACCCCAGCCCAGCTCAGCTCCGACGGCACTCCTCCGCTTAGACGTAAAGGCCCATTTATTGACCTGTTAGAGGAGGTCTCGGTTTACCTCTCCCATCAGTCCTTGTTTTCATGGATCTTTTTGAGGAAAGGATCCAGCAAGGCTTCCTCCCCTTCTCTAGTCGATACCTTGACATACACGCAAGCAGCTTAAAGGACCCTGGCTCACGTACCACGTGTTCTCATGGCGAGGCCCACATCCCTTCCCAGAAGCCTTTGATCCATGGCTGACACCAAGCTCGCAGGTTCCCGGAGCCTTTGCCAAGCCCCTCGGCGGCCCAGGCACCCCAGAACCGACATTCTGTGGGGCCTCTTTCTTGACCACGCGGCTGATCCCAGCTCACCGTCACCCCTGGCCAGCCTCACCTCTTGCGTCTTCTGCAGGATCTGCTCCAGGAGGATGAGGAAGTGGCCCGGGTCCCTGCTGACCAGCTCCTGCAGGCTCCAGCAGTTCAGACACAGCCCGGCTGGGAAGGGAACGGCCAGTGGTCAGATTCCTATATGAAGTAAGAGGCTCCGAAAATCGTATCAACACTCAACTCTATCGTGCCCATTAAGACATAATGACAAGTTTCTTATTCTTGGAAACTCAAGAGACACAGAGAGGAGCTGGGGTCCCCCTTAAAGGCCAATGAGCGGCCACGATTCTGGTCCCTGTACCTCCCCCCAGCGGGCACCACGTCTCCCACCACCACCTGCCCCGCTTCCTACGGGGGGAGCTGGGAAGGAGGTGCCGGGAAGGAGGCCAGAGGCAGCAATTGCTGGAAGAATAGGGAGAGGAGCCACGGTGACACCTCCCCCCCCCCCCCCCCGCCCCGACCCCAACACAAGGCTGAGTCCCTGACAGCGGGGACTTCCCGGGACTGCCTGGACCGGAGCCCAGGACGGGGAAGCCACATTCATTTCTATTTTGAAAGTTAGAATGAACACTTTGCCATTCTAACTTCCCCACACTTTCTTATTGTGTCAAGAAGAATTCTAATTTCTATTTCCCTGCAGTCAGCAAGGGTAAACCCCTAAAAATTAAAGGGGTGGTCATGGAGGCGCTTGTGCATGTGTGTGTGTATGTGTGTGTATGTGTGTGTATGTGTGTTTATGTGTGTGTATGTGTGTTTATGTGTGTGTGTATGTGTGTGTATGTGTGTGTATGTGTGTTTATGTGTGTGTATGTGTGTTTATGTGTGTGTGTGTGTATGTGTGTATATGTGTGTATATGTGTGTGTATGTGTGTGTGTGTGTGTGTGTGTGTGTGTGTGTGTGCACGCGCGCGCGCAGTGAGAGCAGCAGGGGCAGAAGTGGTTAAACCAGGGGTTTCATGGAGCTCCAGCCCCTCCTCATGGTGGAGGCTCCTCCCAAAGTCCTGGAGGCCCGAATAGTGCGCTTCATGTGGTCGTGGGATTTTGTAAATTTGTAAAAGTCAGATATTTTTGTGTGATTTCACTTAATGACGGCCCTCTCAATTCTCTGAGCTCACGCTCCATCGACACCTGGGAAGGAGGCAAGAAGAAAAATACTACCACCTACTGACCAACTCCTATGTGCCAGGCCTTGCATACACATCTCCACTGAGCCTCCCGCCCTCCCTTCAGGAAGGTGGTTTCTGTTGTCATTATTCTCATTTCGCAGACAAGGCAGCTGAGGTCCTGAGAGGTTAAGTGACTCACACAAGTTCATAGAGCCAGCGAGAAAGAGTTTAATCCAGATCGGGTTAATTCCTAAGGCCAAGGAAAGCCTCCAGAGGAGGTGACGTCTGAGCTGAGACCTGGATGAGAAAGAGGCAGTGGGCACAGTTCTGAAGGAGGAATCCCAGGCAGCAAGTGCAAAGGTCCTGAGGTAGGAACGAACCAAGATGTGTTCAAGGACCAGTGGGCATTTCTCTCATGGGGCAGTTAGGGAGGCAAGTGAGATATGGGATAGAAAAAAGAAATCTTTACAAGATAAGAATGATTACAATTAGCCACCAGCCTTCGGAGAAAGAACTGCCCCAGCCTGCGGATACCTCCGTTTCTCGGTCCTGGGGAACATGGAGCACGGAGGCCTCCTACTCCCTGTGTACAGAATTCCGCGGAGAGCAGCCTATGAAGTTCCAGCTGCTCTTTCAGAACCAGCCGATGTGGTATTTCTAAGTAGGTTAAACAATGACTATGCTTCTAGCGAATGCTAAGGAAGCAAGATGCAGCCCTGAGCAGGATGAGGAAGACAGCACGGGCGACAGGAGAAACTGCTGCATCCAGAGGGCCTGCCTCCATCGGGGGCTGTGCCAAGCACCTGTCCAGGTGAGGTCCAGGGGTTTGCAAAGTCATACAGAGTTGGAGCCAGAATCTTCCCGGTCCAGGGCTCACTGTGGCCCCCGAGGCTTCCTTGAGTCTTCGGAGCCTCCCCAACCCCCCCAGCTCTCTCAGACCTACCTGACCAGGAGGTGGAGCGGAGGCGGTTGAGGTTGAGTCCGTGCAGGCAGCGCTCCAGGGCATGCTGGATGCGGTCCTCTGTGCACGTCGTAGCCCCTGGCTGCATCCTGAGTCATCGCCTGCGTGGAAACAGACACTGTCAGCCCCGGACCCCCAGGTGTGAGGAGCGCACAGCCAGCAGGGCAGGTGGCACAGACAACGGCACTCCCAGCCCAGTGCTGCCAGCCTTGCTATTGACTGGGTGCTGTGGGCACAGCAGGTGGGAGCTCAGCTGCCTCCAGGGCTGGAATGGCTCCCTGTGGGGGGATGGGGGGGCGCTGCTCTGAGTGGCAGGAAGGAGTGCTCCTGCAGCCAAGGGCGCGATGCTACAGGAAGCAAGGGGTCAGGGACAGGAGTGGAGAGGTGTCTGCCCCAAGGTGGTCGTGTTTCCAAGCGCCTGGGGAATGCCCAGGGCGTGGCCAGACCCCAGTAGGCTGGGCAGCAGGACCTCCAGGAACAAGCAGAATGGCTTGGGGATTTTTCTGAATTTCCAGGCCTGCAACCCCCAGCCCCAGGGAAGAGCACGGAGATCCCTCTCAGGGAACCGGGGGCTCCAACGCCGAGGCCTGGTGGGGGCTGCCCCACGTGCTCCCCACCACACTCCCTGCTAGGGTGCCCGGGCCCAGGCACCGTTCCTTGTCTGCCCTCGCCTCTACTTTGGCCATGTTTCTTTGCTCTCTGAAGCATTGCAGTGCTGCCAGCTACACACAGACTCCGCATGCCCTGCCCCCTCCCTTGTCCAGCTCAGGCTGGAGGGCCATGAGGAAGGGATCTAAGAGGGGGTCTCAGCACCCGCTGGGGAACTGTGGGAAGGGCCGCATTCTAAGAGCCGCCAGAAGGGCCAGCCTGCCTCTCAGTGATGTGTGAGGCCCCCAGGTCCCTTGGGAGCCACAGCAGGTAGGTGAACAGGTGAATAAGCCTGGCCCCTGGGTCAACAGACTTGGACTCAGATCTGGACTCTGCTATTGGTTAGCCATGCAATTCTGGACACACTTTTTCCCTTTTCCAAACCTCAGTTTACTTATCTGTAAAATGGGATAATGAGAGCACTGACCCCACAGGGCTGTTAGGAAGATTAAACGTCACAGTGGTGTGTGTGCTGGGTAAGCTTTAGGACACGAAAGCTATGGTGCCCCAGTCTTGCCACCACTCTTTCCCTCAGGAATTCCACTGCGTTCACCCGCCGGGCAGACTCCACTGCCCACCGAGCAGGCCAGGCCAGGGAGGGAGGCCGAAGAGGCTGCGGTCCAGCTCCGTGGAACTGGGGACAGACCAGGAAACCACAAGCAGAAGCACCCAGAGCTGAGCCATGCAAACAGCATGCAAAGAGCTACGGAATCCGAGGCTGCTCAGCTGCATGCCCGGCAGTCAGCTCACGGGGCCCCGGGAGGCACAGGCCCCTGCTCCCCGGCCGGGGAGGAACCAAGCGTCCAGGGAAACGTAGCCCCTGTGAGCTGTCCGGCATCACGTCACCTCCGTGAGACCTGGGACGGTGCCGCGGTCTGCGTGCATTTATTCTTTCATATAATTTATGACCACCTATGTGTGGCAGGCAATACGGACACAGCACCGAGGGACACAGGCCATCTCCTTGGTAGGAGACAGACATTAGCAAACAATTTAACAGCTCTGAACAGTTTGGCTCAGTGGATAGAGCCCACGGACAGAAGGGTCCCGGGTTCGATTCTGGTTGTGGGCTCGATCCTCAGTAGGGGGCGTGCAGGAGGCAGCCGATCAATGATTCTCTCTCATCATTGATGTTTCTCTCTCTCTCCCTCTCCTTTCCTCTCTGAAATCAATAAAAACCTATGTTAAAAAAAGAAAGATGAAGGAGGAAATCCGGAGAAAAGTTCGGGGGGAGGCAGATGTTCCGGAAAGAGGAGCCAGCATGTGCCAAGGTCTGGGCCCGCCATGGACTGAGCGCCCGGAGCACAGACCAGCCTTCCAGGTCCCACACCTGCCCGCTGCCGAGGTGGCGGGCGGAGTTCCACAAACCGCTCACCAGGTACCCAGGACGGGGACCTCGGGGGCTTCCGTGAGTGGCACCTCCAGGCCTGCAGATGCCCGCGGGCCCTCCCGGGGCGACTCTCACAGTCACCTTCGGGCCTTTGTCTGCTGACGCTCACGCTAGTCCAGGCAGGGAGTCCACAGCCCTGAACCAGGAGGCAGTTTGCAAGCTGCTGGGCCCCTCCTTCACCTGGATGGGCAAGCCTCCATGTGCCAGTGTGTGTCCATTGGGCAGGGGGGAGGGGGGAGTTGGGGGTGGGAGTGGGGATCAGGGACACCAGGAACAAAAGCTGGTTCTGTTCACACTTCACTCTGGAGGGCCCCCGGCAGGTGAGGGGTGCTTAGCAGTAGAGGCCTGAAGGTTAGACCACCTTGGGTGGGAGCGGGGGGGGGGGGGGGGGGAAACCTGTGGCACAGAGAAGCTAAACAACTGGCCTGAGGCCACACAGCGAGGAGGTGGCAGAGCCAGGCCGAGGACCCAGGGCGTGGCTCTGACACTAGCACAGGCTGCGCCTCAGCACCATCAGATGCAGTTACTAGAAGAAAACAAAAACCAATTCACACTTCCACCCTACAGTGAAGACTCAGTCAGCTACAGCATGATCTTGCTTTTAGTGGCCCCGACGCCCAGTTGCTGGGAGCCCTGAGGCCACCATGTCTGTCTGCACAGCTGCCGCCCTCCAAGGAGAGGACTAGGCTCACGGGAGCAGCATTCTCGGCTGAACTGGGCGATGACCATGGTGACCCCCCCCCCAACCCCCCCGCCTGGAGCACGGGCTTCCCCGTGGGAACTGGGTGAGACCCCTCCACCCCGCCCTGCGATGGATAAGTCCGTTGTGTGGTGAGGCAGGAATGAGTCACCTGCTCTGCTGTGCCCCATTGGAACTGATGCAAACACACGATGCAAATGATCAGCCTCGGCCCACGCCCCTCTGCCGCAGCCCGTCCCTGGGGGTCGGAACACACTGCTCTTCGGGAGGCTGCAGGCTGCCCCCCGCACCCCCAGGGCCTGCAGGCCCACGTCTTTCCTTCTCCAGGCCCTGGCACTTTCCTATCTCCTGGCCTTGGTGTCCCTGGCTGCTCACTGGAGGCAATCAGGGCTTCTGCACAGATGGGCACTGGGCAGAGTTCCTGGTGTGCCCACCTCCAGGCCTGGCACCCAGGCCATCTAGAGCTTGTCCCCAAGCTCCTCTAAGAAGTAGGGCCTGCCCAAGTCGCTGGGGGCCCAGCTGGGGTCCTCGGCGAGCTGCCCTGGGGGTTCACCAGGCGTTCTGCCTGGTCCTCTGGCACGCTCATTTCCGTTTGATGAGTCAGTCATCAGCCGTTTCTTATGACTCGTCAGCAGAACCCAGTGGCTTTGGGGTGGAGATGAAGGGGGAAGAAGGTGGCATCCAATCTCCCCAGGGATGATGCCTTTTTTCAAAGGCTTGGCAAGCAAGGCTTGGCTTCCTGGCACCCCGCTCCCAGCACCCCCTCCACCCGGCAGAAGGAGCTGTTGTGAAATTCAGTGGCTGCCGGGAATGGGAATGCCCCCACATCCGCGGTGGGGGAGTGTCGAAACAGTCAACAATGGGGTTTGCCCCTACCTCCAGTTCCTCTTCTGAGCCAGTAAGGACGAGTCTTTACTGGGGACCCTGAACAGGACAGGATCTTGTTGACATGACCCCTTGAGGCAAAACAGGGGTTGTCTTCCCTACTGTGCAGGACTGGTCAGAGGGTCGGGGTCGGCCTGGGCCCATCTTCCTAGGCAGCCCCCAAGGAGGCAGGGAAGAGGGCATCTTTTCTTGGGGGATAGAGCGCCGGCCTGCAGAAGGGTCCCAGGTTTGATTCCGGTCAAGGGCACCTGCCAGGGTTATGGGCTCAATCCCCCGTAAGGGGCGTGCAGGAGGCAGCCAATCAATGATTCTTATCATTGATGTTGCTATCTCTCTCTCTCTCTCACTTCCTCTCTGTAATTAATAAAAATCTATTTTGTAAAAGTAATAATAAATGGAGGAGAAGGAACAGGTCTCATTTACAAAAGAATTCCAATTAATAAATGAGAGCGGAATGAGAGAAATACAAAATCACCATTAGGCCAACACCACAGTAGTCATTTTACAGGCAAGAGCCACCAATGGATGCTAAAATCAGTGGGTTATCCTGGCCGGTGCGGCTCAGTTGGTTGAGTGTCATCCCGTGCACCGGGAGGTCACCAATTCGATTCCCAGTCAGGGCACATGCCCCGGTTGAGGGTTCAGTCCCCAGTCAGGGTGCATATGGAAGGCAACCAACTGATGTTTCTCTCACACATATATGTTTCTCTTCCCGCCCTCCCTCTCTCTCTAAAATTAATAGAAACCTATTTTTTAAAATACATTTTTATTGATTTCAGAGAGGAAAGGGGAGAGAGAGAGAGAGAGAGAAAGAGAGAGAGAGAGAAATAGAGAGATAGAAACATCAGTGATGAGAATCATTGATCGGCTGCCTCCTGCATGCCCCTTAATGGGGATCTAGCCCGCAACCCGGCTATGTGCCCTTGACTGGAATTGAACCTGGGACCCTTCAGTTCCCAGGCCGATGCTCTATTCACTGAGTCAAACCAGCCAGGGGGGAAACCTATTTTTAAAAATAAAGAAATAATAAAATCAATGGGTGAAAATTTGAGAGGAAACAGAATATTTGCTTAATCTCAGAGTATTTCCCCTAAGAAGTTGAGCAATTATAAAGGGGAAAGTACTAACTTTAGCATGGAGAAACCCAGCATCACTTACACCTCACGATCAAAGTTAATATCACCAATAAGAAGGCATATCAACATCATGTATTGATGTTGCCCTGAGAGGCTCATGACATCACTTCCCTGGGATGTATCCCCAAAATGCATCCCTGCAATCTAATGAGAAAAGGTCATTCCCAACCTAAATGGGAAGAACTGCTATTTGACTGACCAGCATTCACCCAAGTGTCAAGGTCATAGAAGCTAAGGAAAGACTGAGGAACTGTCACAGACTGGAGGAGCCTAAGGAACACAGAAAGCTAAATGTAATGTGGGATCCTGGGCTGGATTCTGCAACTGAAAGGGGACATTAGG